GTGAACTCCACGCTAAGCTCGACGAAGCCAACCGCACCTTGAGTGACTTTGACGCCACCAAGAAGAAGCTTGCCTGCGAGAATGCTGACCTGGTCCGCCAGCTGGAAGAGGCGGAGAACCAAGTCGGCCAGCTGTCCAGGCTGAAGCTGTCTCTCACCAACCAGCTGGATGACACAAGGAAGCTCGCTGATGAGGAGAGCAGGGTAAGTCGTGAAGAGAGAATGGGTAATGTTGAATGGTGATAGCGGTTATAGTCATGGAGAGACAATGATGATAATAATTAGAATAATTTTTTTGATAATAATGATGATAATAATAACTGATGATGGCGATGATATTACTAATGATAATGATTAATATATTCCATTACATAAAGTAAATATAATAATTATTATGATGATGTTAAAGAATAACGTGTATCCTAACGCATTTTATATAAACCATCAGGGACGTGCCACACTCTTGGGTAAGCTGCGCAACTTAGAGCACGATATTGACGTTCTTCGCGAGCAACTGGAAGAGGAGAGCGAGGCGAAGGCGGACGTTCAGCGAATGCTCTCCAAGGCTAACGCTGAGGCTCTCATGTGGCGCTCCAAGTACGAGTCTGAAGGTGTTGCCCGTGCAGAGGAACTTGAAGCTTCTCGCATGAAGCTCGCCGCTCGTCTCGAGGAAGCCGAAATGCAGATCGAATCGCTCAATGTTAGGAACTTGCATCTTGAGAAGACCAAGGTGCGTGCTTCCGCCGAATTAGAGGATCTCCAGGCTGCTGCTGAGCGTGCGCAGACCCTTGCTCTTGCCGCTGAGAAGAAACAGAAGAACTTCGATAAGATCCTCTCAGAATGGAAGATGAAGGTTGATGACCTTTCTGCTGAACTCGATGCCTCCCAGAAGGAATGCCGCAACTACTCCACCGAACACTTCCGTCTAAAGGCGGCCTACGAAGAGAACATCGAACAACTCGACAGCATCCGGCGTGAGAACAAGAACCTCAGTGATGAGATTAAAGACCTGATGGACCAGATTGGCGAAGGTGGGCGAGCTTATCATGAAGCTCAGAAGAACTGTAAACGACTGGAAGTCGAGAAGGAAGAGCTCCAAGCAGCTCTCGAGGAGGCTGAGGCAGCTCTGGAACAGGAGGAGAACAAGGTCCTCCGAACACAGCTCGAACTCAGCCAAGTCAGGCAAGAGATTGACAGACGTATTCAGGAGAAGGAAGAAGAATTTGAAAATACTCGGTAAGTATTGCAATACTGAATAGTGTTCTAATAGTAAATCCATTTATGTTTACTGCATAACAAATGTCATCAATGTAATATATCTAAAACATTATACATTATGTTTTCAGCAAGTGTCACCAGCGTGCAATTGATTCCATGCAAGCGTCTCTTGAGGTTGAAGCCAAGGGCAAGGCTGAGGCTCTTCGTATAAAGAAGAAACTCGAGTCCGATATCAACGAGCTCGAGATTGCCCTTGACCACGCCAATAAGGCCAATTCCGACCTTCATAAACATTACAAGAAGATTCAGGAAGAGACCAAGGACATGGAAGCCCGCGTTAAGGAGGAACAACGTCTTGCCGCTGAGTTTCTTGAACAGTATGGCATTGCTGAACGCCGTGCCAATGCTCTTCATGGAGAGCTGGAGGAATCCCGCGCTCTCCTGGAGCAGTCCGACCGCGGGCGCCGCCAGGCCGAGTCTGAGCTGAACGATGCACGCGATCATGTCAACAGCCTCACCGAACAGAACTCTGCTCTCAACGCCTCCAAGAGAAAGCTCGAGGGTGAAATGCAGACACTGCATGTAAGTAATTTTATACCTTTTGATGACGTTATCGTTTTTTTTTTTTTTCTGGTCAAGGGTATTTATTCATACTTCATGATGACTGAATCACATTTTTTTCCCGTAGGCTGACCTTGAAGAGATGCTTAGCGAAGCAAAGAACTCCGAGGAAAAAGCAAAGAAGGCCATGATCGATGCTGCTCGTTTGGCTGATGAACTCCGCTCTGAGCAGGAGCATGCAATGACACAAGAAAAGATGCGCAAGGGTCTCGAGGTTACCGTTAAAGAGCTGCAGACTCGCCTTGAGGAGACTGAAAGTACTGTCATGAAGACCGGAAAGAAGGCGATCAGCAACCTCGAATCTCGTATCCGTGAGCTCGAGGCTTCGCTGGACGACGAGTCTCGTCGCCATGCAGACTCTCAGAAGAACCTGAGGAAGTGCGAGAGGCGCATCAAGGAGCTCGCCTTCCAGGCTGACGAGGATAAGAAGAATCATGAGAGGATGCAGGACCTCGTCGATAAGCTCCAGCAGAAGATCAAGACCTACAAGCGCCAGATCGAGGAGGCTGAGGAGATCGCCGCTCTCAACCTGGCCAAGTTCCGTAAGGCTCAGCAGGAGCTTGAGGAAGCAGAGGCCTCCAAGTATTAAACTTTGTTGATTTCAGATCTATGTGATTTGAAACAACAGAGTCATAGATGTAGAAATAAAATAAGAAAATTAA